TGAATGCAAAATTGATTTTATAAAAAATACTCATATTATTTAGTTCTAATAGCCAAAACCAGGAAATACCCAAATGTCAATCAATTAATCAGCTAATTGTAGAGCATTTATACAACAGAACACTCCTCAGCAATACAAAGAATCAAGCTATGGAAGCACACACCCTGGAAGACTCTCATAAACATTGTGCTGAGTGATACAGCTGGACTTAACATAACATATTGCCAGCCTGGCACTTTGAGCTGAGATGAGAGGATTGCACAAGCCCAGGAGTTGAAAATGGCCTGAGCAACATAGCGAGACCTTATCTTTACCAAAAAAAAAAAAAAAAAAATTAGCCAGACATGGTGGCTGAGCCTGTAGTCCCAAGTATTCAAGAGACTGAGGTAGAAAGATAGCCTGAACCCAGGAAGTCAAGACTGTGGTGAGCTGTGATAATGCCAGTGCATGCCAGCATAGGCGACAGAGTACGTCTTTGACTAAAAGGAAAAAATAAAAAAAAAAGTAGCCAGGCTTGGTGGCTCAGCCTGTAATCCCGCGCCTTTGGGAGGCTGAGGTGAGTGGATTGCCTGAGCCCGCGGGTTCGAGACCCACCTGGGCAGCGAGACCTCATCTCTACAATAAATCAAAAAATCAGCCGGGCGTGGTAGCGCGCGCCTGTAATTCCGGCTACTCGAAAGGCTGAGGCGAAGGATTGCCGGAGCCCAGCAGGTCGAGGCTGCGGTGGCCGGAAGCGGCCACTGCACTCCAGTCTGGGCGACGGAGTGAGACTCCAACTCAGAAAAAAAAAAAGAGAAGGCAGTATAAATGTATTAGTTTGTGAAAATGGTACACTAAGATTTTTGCCTTTCAATATTTGCATATCTGACCTCATGAAAAAAGGAAATAAATAAATAATAAATTAAGGGAGGTGAAGAATTGGCTGAAGTGTAGATGAAACAAAAATGGAACATATTGAGTAGTTGTTCAGGCTGGTGACAGGTGTATTATCCTGTTTTCTTATTTTATGTATGTTTACAAATTTCTATAATAAAACACTTGTATAAAAGACAATGCAAAGTTGATCAAATATTAGCTTCTAAGATAGTAGTTACCTGTGGGAGGAATGTGGAAGAAAGTGATTGTTGGGGAATGAGCAAAGTTGGTTCTTTTTCTTAATTACATGTGTATCTGCCTTATAATAATTTGTAGATATTTAGAGAAATGTATTGTACATGTCTTCTGAATGTATACTATACATAAAGAAATTAAATATAACATACTTTTCTCCAAATTCTAACTCAATATCTCTGTATAAAGCAGCACTTGTAGCTTGTTTGTTTTCTTTTAAATTGGGATGTTTACTGATGACATTGTCATGTGGGTTTTAATATGTCAAGGTGGGACTTAAGTCTTAAAACTTATGTGACCCCCTAGGTCATTTAATTTTTACTAAAAGCTGGGCTCGTTGTCTCAGCCTGTAATCCTGCGCCTTTGGGAGGCTGAGGTGAGTGGATTGCCTGAGCCCGCGGGTTCGAGATCCGCCTGGGCAACTTGGCGTGACCTCATCTTCACAATAAATCAAAAATGAGCCAGGTGTGGTAGCGCGCCTGTAGTTCCAGCTACTTGGAAGGCTGAGGCGGAAGGATCACCAGAGCCTAGCAAGGCGAGGCTGCGGTGGCCGGGAGCGGCCACTGCACTCCAGTCTGGGTGACAGAGTGAGACTCCACCTCAAAAAAAAAAAAAAAAAATTTTAATAAAGTTTGGTGAATGGCGTAGTATTAATTTTTGCTGGTATAACTTATTTTCAGCAAAGTCCTCCCCTGCAATGATGTTCACCACTGGGCAGAGCATGAGCAGAGTGATTATCAGAACATGTGTAGAACTGCAATTATCAGAACATGTGTAGAACTGGGTTGAATCAGGAGCAAATCAAGCAACAGAGGTCAGTTCTGTAAAGTATCCTGAGTAGTTTATGCAAGTAAGTCTGCAGGGCCACAGTTCAGTAGTAGACATTTTTACACTCACGTAGAAAACCATTGCAACTGGTTTACTAATAGATGTTGGTGTAAAACAGTGATGTTAGGCTTGGTCACACTGTACTCACCTGGAGAGCTTTAAACCACGCAGTTGCCTGGTTCCCCCCATTTTAAGGATTCTGACTTAATTGTTTTGTTGCAACTTGGGATTGGGGATATTAAATTCCCCCTGGGTGATTCTTTTTTTTTTTTTTTTAGAATAAGTAGAAATTTATTAGGAAAGACCTGGCATCAGGAGAGATCCTGAAAAAGGGTGTGTCACCCCCCCCCCCCACCGTGATTCTAATGAGCAGCCAAGTGTGAAAGTGTGAGCTTGGCTAAATTGCAGTGGGACAAATTTGTTCTCAGCAGATCTGTCTTTATGTCATTTGTTGTCACAAAAAGAGGTTGTTTTAGGCACAGTAGTTTGCTTTAGACTGTATTTAAATGTATAAATAGCTTACAAATACTAAAAAGGAATGAGAAGAATTATAAACATGTGGAGTACATTCTATGTGTTTTCATATTTCTCCTTTGCTGAGAAATGAAAAATATAGTAAAGCACATTTCCTGAATTTAGTGCACAGCTATTTCCTTAAATTATTCCAGATTCTTCCAATAATCCCTACAGAAGCATTCTCTGCAGGGATTATTCCAAAAGGTAAAGAGTATGAGATGGATGAGAAGCTTATGAGAATCCTGCCTCTACTACAGAAAGGTCACTTTCCAGACCCTAGAAGGCTGGGGAAGTGGCATAAGTTGTGTGGTGTATGGAGGTGAATGGGCTTTGGAGTCTGAGTTGTTGATCTGAGTCCCCACACAGCTTCTTAGTAGTTGTTGGGATTTAGACAAGTTACCTAACTTGAAACAGTTATATAAGCCTTATCTGGACAAAAGAAACATAATGATACTGATTATGCAACTTGTAGCAATTCTTGATTCCTCCTTGTCTCCATGCCCTATTTAATGTGCTTTTACGGCAGCTTCCATGGAAAGTCAGAACCTGTTCCCAAATTATAGATCTAGGTGGTTTTATTTGCTTTGGTCAGCAGAAAGTTGTATGAGAGTGTGTTAGTTGAGGCCTAGGATCAAAAGCACTTTTTCTTTCAGAACCCTGCCATCTTCATGAGAACAAGTCCATGTTAGCCTGCTGGTGGATGAGATACCATAGGTAGGAGAACCAAGGTGCCCTTGTTGTAAGCTAGTCACCCCCAGAAACAGAGGCATCTATTCAATCAGTAGCTGAGTACACACGTCTGGAGGAGCTGTGCTGAGCCCAGCCTTTAGAGATGACCTGCTCAACCATGAGTTAACAAGATTTGTAGTGGTTTGTTATATAGCAATAAATTACTAGTTCATGCATCAAGTGCAGACAGGGTGTCCGGATTTAAGGATAGGTTGACTATAAGTTACCTGACAAACAATAGTCATCCTATAGGAACCTATTTTCTGTTTCATTTATTTTAAGTTCACTCTCTTTTTGATGGGGTTGAGTTGTGCAGAAAAGCATGTAGACATGTGTGCATCTGATTGATACTTAAACTCACACAGTCCCACACATCACAGGAGGAGACAGGTAACCACAACCTGATCATTTAGGCCAAGACTAATTGTAAAATAAGTTTTCCTTTACAAATCAGATGTATATTTTCTATACATCTGATTTGTAAATTTCAAGGTGATGGACAGACCTAAGGACATGGCGTTCCTTCCACCTGGGACCTCATTGTCCTTTGTCCACTGTCTGGTATCTGGAAGGTGGCTGAGCCCCCAACAAGCAGCAGGTGGACAGCTATGGTCTACTTGTGGACACTTTCTGATTCCAGTCCCTGCTAACTCTTGGGACACAATCTCGTCCATCATTGAGTCTCAGGGGAAAAGCTGGTAGGGAGGGGTTACCTTCTCATCTCTATTAGAAAAGGGGGATTCAAACCCTTCATTTCTCTGAGGTCAGGGGAGTCAGATTCCTTAAGGGGGCACTTCAGTATGGCAGCCACAGACCATGTGGGGCAGTAGAGAACCTGGAATGCAGTTGTACTGAACTGAGATATGCTGGAAGGCTAAAATGTAGAGTGAGTTTTTAAAATATGCATACAGTGCCCTCCAAAAGAAAAATCACTAATGCTTTTATATTTAATCATATTTTGGATAATTTAGGGTACATAATTATAGTCAATTCCACAATTCTTTTTGTTTTTACGGCTCCTAGAAAATTTAATATGATGCACGTGGCTCACAATTTACTTCTGCTGGAGATTGCTACTTTTAAAAGATTCTCTCCATTGTCAAAGTTCAGGCTGCCTTCTCTAAAGTCCAGAGGCCAGGCAGGTTATAAAATGTGAGACATCGAGGTAATTGTTATTATATTGCTTCTATTTGTGAATAATCTATGTGTACTGAATATATGTACATATGCAATTCATACATGGATATAACGTTTTTGTGTGTGTGCTGGTGTCTCACTCTGTTGCCCAGGCAGGAGAGTGGTGGTATGCCCTCGGCCACCGCAGCCTTGACCTGCCTCAGCCTTCCAAGCAGCTGAAACTTCAGGCACGCGCCACCACGCCCAGCTATGGATATAATTTTATACATAAGGTTAAATAGAAATGTTCTGCATGAAAGTCCAGGTCCCCGTGCAGGGGCGAATCCGTGCCAAAAAAGGATGTGCCTGAAATCTGTTACTCTCCTCTCATGCATCCCAGTGTCTGATTGCAACAACAGTCATTCATGCCTGTGGGGGCGGGGTCTGAAGTTTTATCCAATCAGTAGCGGCAGCATGAGAACCGTCCAATCAGACGCGCAGCTGGAAAGGAAGGGGCGGCTTCCGGGATCTGGCGGGGTCTTTGTCTCTGGCGCCCACACACCCAGCTTGGTCGGCTCTCCACCTCGCCTTCTCCTGCTTTCCAGGAGACCCAGGTCTTTGCGCTGCAGCCTCTGTCGCCTTGTGTCCTGCAGGTACAGGGAAAGACACAGCTAAAACCCAGGACACCGGAAGCGGGAAATGAATCCGGGACCAGCGTCCGAGAGCGGGAGGCGGCGGCTTCCGGGATCTGTCGTGTCCCTTGGTCCTTGCTCCAGAGCTCGGTGCTGTCTCCACAGCCCCCTCTTCTACCCTCCAGAGTCCCCAGATGTCTCCGCCGCGGCCTCTGTGGCCCTGTGACCTGCAGGTACTGCGAGATCCGGAGAGAGGACGCGGGACACCTGGAAGCCCGGAAATGGTGAGTGTTTGTGTCCCGGTGTTCTGGGAGGGGAGCGGCGCTTCCGGGATCTCGGGGCTTTGGTCCCTGCTCCAGCCAGGGCTCGGGGTCTGTCTCCTTTCTCCGGAGACCTAGGTGACTCTTCCGCAGCCTCTGTCCCCTGGGACCGCGGGTCCTAGAGACCCGTAGGGAGGACCCCGGACACCCGCAAGCGGGAAATGGTGTGTGCTGGCGGGCGTTCCGAGGGAGAGGGGTGGCAAAACCGTCCGGGCTGAACTTCCCCTATAGCCCTGAAGTCGAGGCCCCCGTCCCCGCCCGCCGCTCGGGCCTTGATATTCTTCAGCGCAGTGGGGCCTACGCGATTCCTCCCTCCCGGAGCCTTCTCTGGGCCCCTCTGCGCCCGTAGCCTCGCGTTCCCCAGATTGTGCGGGACGACGGGAGGGTCCCTGGGAGGATCCCACTCATGTGTGGGACAGCGGAAGGGACCCGGAGAGGATCCCACTCGTGTGCAGGGACGACGGAAGGGTCCCGGGGAGGATCCCACTGTAGTACGGGTCTCGTGCGTGGGAGGCGCTGTGGTCCGTGAGTCCCCAGTCCCTGATCCCTCCTGTTTAAGATTGAACCGTGGCACCGTTAAAATGTTAAAAGAATTTCATTTTTAAAAAATTTAATTTAATTTAATTTTATTATTATTATTATTATTATTATTTTTTGAGTTGGAGTCTCACTCTGTCGCCCAGACTGGAGTGCAGTAGCCGCTCCCGGCCACTGCAGCCTCGATCTACTGGGCTCCAGAGATCCTTCCGCCTCAGCCCTTCCAAGTAGCTGGAACTACAGGCGCGCACTACCACGCCCGGCTAATTTTTTGATTTATTGTAGAGATGAGGTCTCGCCAAGTTGCCCAGGCAGGTCTTGAACCCACGGGCTCAGGCAATGCACTCACCTCAGCCTCCCAAGGCGCGGGATTACAGGCTGAGCCCCCGAGCCCGGCTGAGCAAACAATTTCATAAGTCGGGACGTCCCCATTTATGGTTTGTGGCTGGAGTCCTCTGAGGAACTTGAAGGGAAAGGCAGGAGGAAGCAAACCACTTTCTTCAGTAACTAATTAGTGATAGTTACATAGTCAACTTATTTGGATTATTGAGTTGGAAATTTTCTGCGCATATAATGGTAGCTTTATTGGTAGTTTGTGAATTGCTTAAGTCTAAATTTTGTTTTTGTCTAATTTAGTATTTTACAAGAAATTCATTTCAGTTCATAGATTTTCTTAGGTTGGATGCCAGGACTCTACAGACATCATTCTAAATGCTCCCTATTTAATTGTTTCACACTTCACAGTAGCATGGGCTTTTCCAGCAGTTTTCCTGTGTTTGGCAAGCAGGGTCTCAAATACATGACTCTGTTCCCAGAGCCTGTTTTGGGCCCTGTAGGAAAACCTAAATTTCCAGTTTCATGCTCACATTTCCAAATGGCAGCTAGGAAATGGTGAGTGGGGTCTGATGTCCTGTTGGGAGAGGGGTGGCAGAACTGACCTTACGGAACCCACGCCTCCCCAGGAGCTCCAGAGTTTGCACCAGCATCCCAACTGGCACAGGTTGGGGCTGTGCTAGTAGCTGGGACCCCAGGATCCTGTCCTATCCCTGCATGACTCCTCACTGCGGGAGCAACTACTGCTTTTCAAATAACGGCATGATGAACTAATTTTTAAAATTACTTTTCAACATAATATTTTCATTGTGTCAGATTTTTTTCACATAGCAGTGGGTGGCTATTTTGAAAACATTTGTTTTCTGTTTCTGAGCATTGCACATGAGAGGAAAGCAGAGAATAATCCCCTGGTACTCCACTGTAAGAAATCTCTGTGTCTCCTCCTTGTATTTTCCCTAGCCACACTGCTTACTAGAATGTCTTTGAAACTTTACAGGGTGATGTGTGAATATCTTTGGAAACTTTATAGGGTGATGTGTCCTCAGCCACACTCCCGTCTTTTCTTGATTCTGGGTTTCACAATTGTCTGGGGATGACACAAGATGCCCACAGTTGGTTTCTCTGTTGGAGTGTCTAGTGAATACCAGCCTTTGGGTCGTTTCCTCCCAGAGGGCAGTCTGATGTATGGGTCAGAGCCTCTTTGTGGGGGAGGGGGGCAACTGAATGCCCTGGGGCTGATAGGAGTCTTCTAAAAAAAAGGGACCCTTTGGAACATTAAGATTTTCTTCCACCAGGCTAAGCAACATAGTGAGATCTCGAGTCCTCATCTCTACAAAAAATCAAAAATTAGCCTAGTGTGCTGGTGTGTGCCTGTAGTTCCAGCTACTTGGGAGACTGACATGGAAGGATTACTTGAGACCTGGAAAGGGTGTGGTGAGCCATGATTGTGCTATTGTACTCCAACCTGGGCAACAGAGTGATTCTGACTCACAAAAGAATTTGAGTTATGTGAGATTAAATGATGGATATTCATTAAATAGTTAGCTCATTTCCAAATAAAGTATAATACTAGGACATTAATTTCAAGACATGAGTTTTATCTTCCATACATTAAGCTTTATTCAGAAGAAAAAAAAGATGTTTAGGATGTTAGTAACCATGTCCTGTATCACATGTAAAAATGGTTTAATTAAGCCAGGCTCGGTGGCTCAGCCTGTAATCCCGTACCTTTTGGGAGGCCAAGGTGAGTGAATTGCCTGAGCCTGAGGGTTCGAGACCCGCATGGGCAACTTGATGAGACCTCATCTCTACAATAAATAAAAAATCAGCTGGGCGTGGTAGCGCATGTCTGTAATTCCGGCTACTCGGAAGGCTGAGGCAGAAGGGTCGCCGGAGCCCAGCAGTTCGAGGCTGCGGTGACCGGGAGCGGCCACTGCACTCCAGTCTGGGTGACAGAGTGAGACTCCAACTCAAAAAAAAAAAAAAAAAGGTTTAACAGCCTGTAATCCCGTGCCTTTGGGAGGCTGAGGTGAGTGGGTTGCCTGAGCCCGCGGGTTCGAGACCCGCCTGGGCAAATTGGCGAAACCTCATCTCTACAATAAATCAAAAAAAAAAAAAAAAAAAAAAAATCAGCCGGGCGTGATAGCGCATGCTTGTAATTCCGGCTACTCAGAAGACTGAGGTGGAATGATCACCGGAGCCCAGCAGGTCGAGGCTTCGGTGGCCGGGAGTGGCCACTGCACTCCAGTCTGGGCGACAGAATGAGACTCCAACTCAAAAAAAAAAAAAAACATTTATAGAGAGAACAGAGACCTCAAATAAATGTATGTAAAAATATAGCCTACATATCAGTTTTAGTTAATTGGAATTTTGGGTATAGAGCTTCTGGAAAATGTTTTTATTAGGTTTTAGGAGGGTAAACAGCAAACATTTATTTTTTCTTTTTTTGAGTTGGAGTCTCACTCTGTCGCCCAGGCTGGAGTACAGTGGCATGCTCATAGCCACTGAGACCTTGAACTGCTAGACTCAGGTGATCCTTCTGCCTCAGCCTTCCAAGTAACTGGAACCACAGGCACATGCCACCATGCCCAGCTAATTTTTTGATTTATTGTAGAGATGATGTCTCACCAAGTTGCTCAGGCTGTTCTTCAATCCCTGGGCTCCGGCAATCCTGTTACCTCAGCCTTCCAAAGTGCTGGGATTACAGGCGTGAGCCACCATACTTGGCCTAGCAAACATTTTTTTTTTAAATGGTTTTCTTTTTTTCTGATATTTATATCTACAAGAAGTTTTGAAGGTAAGGTTTATTAGCGGGCCAGGTGATCAATATTTAAAGCTGTTTGTCTTTGAAATGTTTTAATACACTATTTCCTTTCTGAGTATATAGTTTAATTGGCTTAGGAGAGTAGGCAAAAAAGATGAAACAAAGAACAAAAAAAGTGTCTATCACATTCTAAAAGTAAACCAAAATTTAAAATCAAATGTATACCTGAATATATGACTCAAAATCAGCACAAATAAACATGCATGAGACCAGAACCAAGAAGTTCTTTACCTGAGGCACTGACATTACTGCCGAGTGTGTTCAAAATACAAAAACTCAAGTTTTACCTCAAATCTCTTGAATCAGAATCTGTGTTTTAACACTTTCAGGTCATTGTTGTACACAATAGCACTTGAGAACTAACTTCTAATTCACCATGATTCTTCCACCTGAGAATTATATACAGCTGATTCTGTATGATGTAGCTATGACATTCAAAAATGTGTTGATGCCTTAGTTTTATACTTATAAATGCCTTTAGTTTTATATTTCATGTTTTATATAGGCATAATATCTATACTAGTTTTGTATATCCTATGTTTAAAAGTTTCTTATTGAGTAGTTCAAGTCACTTGTATAAATCAGAATCACTTTTCTGAACTCATTTTGTCTTGGATCCAATGAAGAACTCTACTCATGCCCGCATGGTCAGTGTGCTACTTATCTATTTATTTTTATTTCAGAGACTATTGATGTTCAGGGATGTGGCCATAGAATTCTCTCCAGAGGAGTGGGAATGCCTGGACCCTGCTCAGCGGAATTTGTATAGGGATGTGATGTTAGAGAACTACAGAAACCTGGTCTCTCTGGGTGAGAATAACTTGCCTCTGAAGTATCTAATACACTCCAAAGTTGTATTTCTGTTTTTGTGCCGAATGTCTCAAGATCGTGTGCTTTGTATGAATGAGTTTTCAGATTCCTGCTTTCAGAGCAAAAACTGAGGTTTAGGTGATGTAAAAAGTAATAGTCATTTTGTTTGATTTTGGCATTTACCTTCCTTTTTGAGGTGGTATGCAAGCTTCACTCTAGTTTACTGGTGATTCTAGAAATTCAACAGTATAAAATATTGTTGCTTCCACCTTAAAATTCTACTCCTCTCATTTTGATTGAGTCATACTTGAAAGTAAAGCTCAGGATTCACAAATTTAAAATGTTTTCTAATATTCTAAAGCGGCTGGCAGGTAGCAGTAGTTGGGGAAATAAATTTTTAGATTCTTCTATAATGTTCTCTTTACTGAACACAGTACTGAGTTGGAAATTAACAAACCTTCAACAATAATCATGTGGCTTTTTTTCTAATAAAACAGGCCTCACTATTTTTAAGCCGGCCCTGGTCACCTTTTTGGAGCACTGGCAAGAGTCCTGGAATGTGAAGAGAAAGGAGACAGTGGCCAAACACTTGGGTAGGTAGGAGTGAATGAAGCAGATACACGGGTGAAAGGTCCAAAAGTCAAAAAGGAAGATAGGTTTTGAAGTGTGAATTAGGAAGCTCTGCTTCAATGGAAATGATTTTTGAAAAATCTGAGTTTCTCTTGCTTCCCATGCTCTTAAATTATCTGACGATATTCCCCTTGTTTCTGTGATCTACCCTCAGCTTCACAATGAGAGTCAAAGTTCTCCCCTTGTCCTGTGAGGGCTTCATAATCTGATATCTTGACTTGTGGGGGTACTGTCTGGGGGGAAAATTTGTGCATGTTACTGACTTCTTTGTGTCAAGCCATATTTTAAGTTCTGTTTTTGCCTCATGTCAGAAGTGTGTGAGTAGGGTGGTCAACAGTGAAATTTGCCTCAGAAGTATAAGGAGTACTGTGGACAGGTGTCATATATTTTCTAGTTTAGTAATTTACAGTCCTATGGTGGTTCCCCAGGTGATTGTACAGAAATTGAGGTTTAATAATTTCATCAGAGAACAAAGAATCTCCCTAAATGTAAGAAAATATAACCCTATGTTTCACTTCAGCCTATCATTTTGTCTAGCCTGAATTAAGATTGGAAACTTAAATTCAATATGAGTTGGAGTCTCACTTCATCGCCCAGGCTGGAGTGCAGTGTGGCAGGCTCATGGCTACCTACCCCAGTGTTGACCTGCTGGGCTCAGACTATCCTGCCTCAACCTTCCAAGTAGCTGGAACTATAGGCATGCGCTACCACACCTTGCTAATTTTTTGATTTATTCTCGAACCCGTGGGCTCAGGCAATTCCCTCACCTCAGCCTCCCAAAGTTCTGGAATTACAGACTTGAGCCACCGTACCTGGATAGTTCTTTTTTAGATTACACAAATAACTGACATTATACAATGTTTTTATTTCTCTTTTTTTGATTACTAGAATGTTCATCTGATTCATCCATCCATGTTGTCAAACTGGCAGAATTACCTTCATTTTGGTTTAATAATAATCTGCTATGTTTTGTGAATAATTGACTATGAACATAGGGGTGCAGATATCTCTTTGACATAGTGATTTCATTTCCTTTGGCTATATACCCAGGAATGAGATTGAAAGTTTGAATGGTGCTTCTACCTTTTTTTTTGTTTTAGTCAGGGTTTTACTGTTGCCCACACTGGATTCCAGTGACATGATCACAGCCCATAGTGACCTTGACTTCCTGGGCTCAGGTGATCCTCCTGCTTCAGTCTCCTGAATAACTGGGTCTCCTGAGTAGCTGAGTAAGTAGTGTACATCATCATGCCTGGCTAATTTTTCCCTTTTTTGTAAAGACAAGGTCTCACTTTGTTGCCTAGACTGGTCTCAAACTTTTTGTCTCAAGGAATCCTCTCACTTTGACCTCCTAAAGTGTTAGTATTACAGGAGTGAGACACTTCACCTGGCCTTATTTTTAATTTTTTTGAGGGCGCTCTGTATTGTTTTCTATAATGGCTAGATCAATTTCTAAATCCGCCAACTGAGTACAAGGGTTTTGTTTTTCTCATACCTTTGCCAACATTTATCTCTTGACTCTTTGATAATAGCCAATTATCAAGTGTGATGTGATATCTCATTGTGGTTTGACTTGTATTTCTTTGATGATTAATGAAATTGAGCACCTTTTTATAAACCTGTTTGCCACTTTTATGTCATCTGTAGAGAAATATTTACTTAGGTCCTTTGTACATCTTAAAAACAGATTTCTTTTTTTTCCCCCCTATTGAGTTGTGTGAGGTCCTTGTATATTTATTTTGGATATTAAACTCGTTTTTTTTGTTTGTTTTTTTTGAGCTGGAGTCTTAATTCTGTTGCCCAGGCTGGTGTGCAGTGGCATGATCCTAGCCACTGCAGCCTCGACCTGCTGGGCTCAGGCAATCCTCCTGTCTCAGCCTTCTAAGTAGCTGGAACTACAGGCACGTGCTACCACACCCAGCTCATTTTTTGATTTATTGTAGAGACAAGGTCTCACCATGTTGCCCAGGTTAGTCTCGAACCCACAGGCTCAGGCAATTCTCTCGCTTCGACCTCCCAAAGTGCTGGGATTATAGGCTTAAGCCACCGCACCTGACCCTTGGATATTAAACTCTTATCAGATATGATTTTGGCCAATCCTTTGGTTATGTTTTTCATATTGTTCTTTGTTTCCTCTGCTGTGCAGAAATGCTTTAGTTTGATATAGTACCATTTATTTTTATTTTTTGCTTTTGTTGCTTGTGCTTTTTTTGATGTGGTATATATTCAAAAAAATCAGTTGTGCCAAGAGTAGTGTAAAAGGGATTGTTCTCTATGCTTTCTTCTAGAAGTTATAGTTTGTGGTCTTACTTTGAATGTTAATCCTTTTTGATGTATTTTTTGTATATGAGATAAATGTTTAACTTCATCATTTTGCTCTTGGGTATTTTTGCCTTATTTTTTGAAGAGACTACACTTCCTTTTTTGTGTGTGTCTTGGTGCACTTGTCAGAGATTAATTGACTGTATACACATGGCTTTATTTCTGGTTTCTATATTCTATTTCATTGGTCTGTGTGTCTGTTTTTATTTTAGTACCATACTCTTGATTAGCATCACTTTGTAATAATTTGAAATGAAACGATGTCATACCTACAGCATTGTTTTCTTTCTCAAGATTGCATTAGTTATTTTGGGTCATTTGTGGTTTCATAGAAATATTAAAGTTTTTTGTGAAAAAGACCACTTTTAATAGGAATTGCTTTGGATATGTAGATGGCTTTGTATAGTAAGGATACTTTCTCAATATTTTGGACTCAGGTGATCCTTCTGCATCAGTCTTCCAAGTAGCTGGAACCCACAGCTGTGCACCACCATATCAGGCTAGTTTTATTTTTCACTTATTGTAGAAACAGTGTCTTGCCAAATTGCCCAGGCTGTTCTTGAACCACTGAGCTCAGAAAATTCTCTTGCCTCTGCTTTTCAAAGTGTTGAGACTACAGGCATGAACCACCATGCCTGGCCAGAATTTTATACTTTTTGATACTATTGTAAGTGAAATTCTTAACTTTTTTCTCAGTGTTTCTTGTTAGCATATGAAAATGTAGCTGATTTTTATATGTTAATTTTGTGATTTCAGCATTACAGAATGGGTTTATTAGCTCTAGCTTTTTCGTTTTGTATAATGTTTAGGGTTTTTATATATATAAAATCACCTCATTTGCAAGCAGAGAGAATTTCTTTCTTTTGTTTCTAATTTGAATGCCTTTTATTTCTTTTTTTACCTAATTGCTCTGGCTCGATCTCTCAATGCTATATTGAATAGAAGCGGTAGAAATATGGGGTATTCTTGTCTTGTTCCTAATACTAGAGAAAAAATTTTCAGGATTTTATTGTTGTGTATAGTGCTACCTGAAGGCTTGTTTTATAAGTCTTTATTATGTTGAGGTACATACTTTTATACACGTATTATTTCTAGTTTTTATAAGATTGTATTGAATTTTGTCAGATACTTTTAATAAACATTTTGAGATGACTACAGTATTTTTATTCTTTACTTTGTTACTGTGGCAGTATATTATTTTTATGGATTTGTGTATGTTGAAACATCCTTGCGTCCCACAGATAAATCCTATTGTTTATGGTGTATGATCCTTTTAATGTGTTGAATTTGGTGTCTGATATTTTGTTGAGAAATAAACACAATCTTCATCACAAGAAAACCACATTGGCTTGTGGTTTTCTTTTCTTGCACTGGCTTCATTATGAGGATAATTTGGCCTTGTAAAATGAGTTTGGAAGTGTTTTCTCCCTTCATTTTATAGAAAGGTTTGGGAAAAATTGACATGAATTCTTTAAGAGCTTGGTAGAAATCACCCGTGAAGTCATTCAGTTGTGGACTATTTTTATTGGGAGATTTTTGGCTATCGTTTCAATCTTTTTCTTCATTATTGGTCTGTTTAGTGTTTCTGTTTCTTCGTGATTTAATAATGGTGAATTAATTGTTTCTAATAATTTATTTTAATTTATCCAATTTGTTGTTATGACTCTTCCTCATAGACAATATCCTTTGTAGTTCTGTGTGATCAAAGTAATGACTTGTGTGGTTTTTTTTAAAATAATTTTTTCAGGCTTTTGTTTTTTTCCCCTAGGTTAATCTAGCCAGAATTTTGTCAACTTTGTTTTCTTTTAAAAGTTCAACTCTTAGTTTCTTTTATCTCTTTCTAGCCTCTATTTAGTCTCTTTTTGCCCTAAATCTTATTATTTTCTTAATCATACTAATGTCAGGATTATTTTGTTCTCATTTAGCTTTCTTAGGCATAAAAGTTGGGTTGTGTATTTGAGATTTTTCTTCCCTTAATGTATGACTTTATTATTATAATCTTTTGTTTTAGAACTGCTTTTTTGCATCCCAGATGTTTTGGTTTCTTATGTGTCCAATTTCATTTGTCAAGATACTTTATTTTCCTTCAGATTTTTTTCATTTTCCTAAAATTATTTAGTAGCATGTTGTTTAATATGCACATATTTGAGTCTTTCAAAGAGCATGGCACTGGTATATGGTGAAGTTCTTTTTTGCTGCATCATTATATTGCCAAAGACCTGAAGAAAAGAACTTCCTTTTATAACAGACCACTTGTGATAATGAACCCATTCTTATAACAAGTAAATTAATCTATTTATGAGAGTACTGCTTTCATGGCCTAATCACTTAAAGGTTCAAACTCTTAATTCCATCACAACGGCTATTAAATTTTAACCTAAATTTTAGAAGTGACATTCAGTCTATAGCACCATCTATTTACTGGAATTTAAAGTCTGTATGTAATTATTGTTATGTAAGAAGTTTCTATTGCAGTGTTGTTTTCATTTTATAGTTTCTTAGTTTTCTTTTTTCTCTTGTGCTGTCATCTCTTTTGTTTTGCTTTTTATTCTTTTGTTACATGCTTTGATTTCTTTCTCTTTTAAAAAAAAGTCTGCTACTTTTTTTAGAGGATTTTGTGACACATAAAACATTTATAAAC